CTGGGGAATCGGGGGAAGGGGAACAGACAAGTTGCTGTAGTGTTGTTCTTCAGTCTAGTTGTGGAGGATGTTGCTTCAATGGCCCAAGCTGTGTCAGCTTCTCTTAAACATCTTTCCAGAAGTCTCAGACAGTAATTCTGTTTAAAACTCATTGACCAAAACTTAGTCATACTTAGTTGTAAAAGGAGATTGGGAAATGTCATCTTTTTGGGCACATTGCTCCTGATTCCCCTAAATAAAATTGGAGTTTCTATTATTAAGGAATAAAAGGAGGATAAATTTTGGGTAATTGGTGTGTAGTGTCTACCAAAGATGAAGAGAGACACACGTTTCAAAAACAGTGGGAGAGAGCATATTTCTTTAGAAATAAATATTCTTACCTGTCTGCTTTGTTTATTTACATAACTTTTCTTGCCTTTGCAGCCCCTGCTCCACAGTGTCTAGTATGGTGCCATGCACATAGTTAACGTTTCTGCTCCATCTGCCCCTGCCCCTGGGGTCTGCATTAATTGGCTATGCCTAAGATTTGGTCTGACTCTCCATCAACACCATTGCTAGTGGGACGTTTTGTTGGGCCATGGCCTCTGAAGCTTTTTATTCCCACAGACATAAAATGTCCATACTATCCAAAGCCATCTGTAGATTCAGTGCAATCCTTGTCTAGATTCCAGTAGCATTTTTTTTTACAGAAATAGAAAAAAACAATCCTAAAATTTATATTCCCACAGGCAATCTCGCTGCCAATGATCTCTCCACTTCCCGAACAGGCAGACTACAGAAGGTTCTTCACAGCTATGTACCTCAAGATATTAGGGATAGGAGTCGAGTTCGAGTCACCTCATGGGATGGCAGGAAGTGGGGAGAACTGGAGGGGGACACCTATGACCGGGTGAGTGATTCCTAACCTGGGACATCCAGCCAACCAAATCTGCCCTCTGCTTCTTGCTTCCAGGCCCTGAGGCAGTATGTTCTAGTCCTACATGTTTGAATATGTGGGGCTATTTCTGGACCTGGCCAGCTCCCCATGGGTGAATTGTCAGTTCAGAATAGAAGACTATCTATGATGATTTCAGCTTAGACGACTATCTTCATTAGAGACAGCAGCAGGAAGAATTTGAATCGACTGAATGGAAAAAAGAAAGCTTATTAGGCTTATTTTATTTCTCAATTCACGTGGTTGCTCAGAAATCCTCACTAAAATAAGCATGAATAAGCTCATTTTATTTATTTTTGAATATTAGTACAGCACACGGTGCAAAATTCAGAAGGCGCAAAAGGATATCAAGTGAAAAGTACATTTCCCTCTTACTCTTGTCTCACAGCCATCTTCTTCCTCTCCCTACAGATGATCATTGTTTATATTTTCTTCTGTATCCTTGAGAATATATTCTTTGTGTATATACAACTATAAATGTGTGTGCGTTTTTTAAAAAACAGGAATGGTAGTATATTATACTCACTATTCTGAACTTTGTATTTTTTTCATTTAGTAATGTACCCTGATGTTCAGTCCTTTTTAGTTTTATGTTTTTGAAGTCTAATTGCTAGATAACAGTTATATGCATTTAAGATTTTGATAGAGGTTACTAAAATTACTCTCTGTGGAGATTAAATCAGTTTCATTTCTGCTAATAAGAATACTGTTTCTTCATATTCTGCCACTATTGGTGTTGTCAGACTGTGGTTTTTGCCAAACCGATGGCATCTGATCTATATTCTGTTATTATGAATGATGTTGAAAGTCATTTCATATTTTAAAATTATTTGTATTTTAATTGGCATACTCTAAAAATATTTACTGAAANGATACAAAAAGAAGTAACTTGAGGAGAATGGGTTTTGTGGGCCAGTGCTGGTGTGATAGCAATTCTGTGCTTTTCTCAAATTTCTATTTTCTTGTCATTCTCCTTTGTGAGGCACGAGGCATATAGTTTCACAGACCGTCCAAGCATGATTTGACTTTGAAAATATCCTATCATAGCTTGAGTCCATTTGTGAATGCTAGAAGTGTCATAACCTCCCAACTGGGGATTGTAGCTCTTATAGCTGAACCTCGGTGCTATGTCTTATGTCTTGTCACATTTTTCTCTGAGAGCCTTCGTGTCACGGCAACAAACACCAGGTTTCTGTCTCCTTGAGTCTGTCCCCAATGGCTGTCCATGCTGAGCTGTGTCTCAGTCAGGCAGCTGAATGCCTGTACCACCAGTTGCCCTTATTAAAACTGGCCTGGGAGTCCTTCTGTGACCATTAGGTTGTTGTCTCTCTCCCCACATCATTGCTGTCTTTTTTCATGTCTTGTCGGCTCTCACTTGGACTCTTGTAACAGCCATCTCAGTGATGTCTTTATTTCTATTTTGTTCTTCCTAGCCCACCTAGCTTTCTAAAACTCTTATCTAGCTGATCACATCATCTACCTTAACACATTGGAGACCGGTGATGCAGATTTGCGTCTATACATTAAGGGGGAATGTTTCCAGAGGTATCACACCCTCAAGTACTACTAGGGTCTTCGGTATTTCCTGAAAATTTCAGTTCACAAAAATAGTGAATTTGTTACAAATTTTTAAAGAAACACAGTATAAAAGTTGATTTCAATGGTTTAAACCCCGGGAACATTCATTTAAACAATTAAAATGTCCCGTCCTCAACTTTTGGTAACTGCCTACAGGTTATAGTCCAAACTCCTTAGCATAGGGTTTAATACGTTTTACAATCTCGCCTATATCTGCTTCCTAAATTCAGTCTCATGCACCTTGTATTTCTACCACACTAGTGTTTCTATCACTGTTTCTGAAAGAAGCTATGAATTTGCATGCTTCTGTTCCTTTGCTTGTTCTTTTTTCTTCTACTTAGAATGCTTATCTTCCTTTTTTCTTTATTTTATTTCACTCTATATATAATATTTTTTACCTGATGAAAGCCTATTCCTTCATCCGGCCTAACTCACATAACTCTGACGGGCACAATGACACTCTTCTTTGAATCCACAAGGTACTTTGTATGTCAAAATGTAACCCAATAAAATTGGGTTCCTCCTATATGCCAGGTACTGTTTCAGGTGTTGGATATACTATTATGAACAAAGCAGACAAGTCCCTACCCTCATTCTAATAGGTTGGGCTAAGGGGGAAACACACACACACACACACACACATACGCACATGCACATACATGCACATCTATACATATAAAGTAAATATATGCTTTAAAGAAAAATCATGCAACATAGAGAAATAGAAGGTGATGGGAGTAGGGGGCTTCTATTTTTAGATAGAGTAGTCAGGGAATGCCAGTGCCTCTCTGATGAGGTAACGCGTGAGGAGAGACCTGAAAGAAGTGAGGAAGGAAGTGAGGGATATTTGGGGGAAGAGTGTTGCAGGAAGAAGGTACAGCATGAGACAGATGCATGCTTAATTAAGGAATAGCAAGATGGTTAGCAGGGCTGGATTAGAGTGAATTGATCTGTGTTTTAAAAGGATCACTCTGGCTGTTGTGTAGATAAGTGAGTGACTAAATAAGTGAGTATAGGGTTGAGAAATGAGTTTTTGCTGAGTAGAGCTCAGTAGCCCCCGAGCATGGACTTGGTGGCCTTGACTTCCCAGTAAGTCTCCTGACTTGGAATTTGACAATAAGTGCTCTTCTCTATTCTAGGCTTGGCAGCCTGGGTGTCATGGACTACTACCTGATGGATGCTGCTTCCTTGCTGCCTGTCCTGGCTCTTGGCCTGCAGCCTGGCGACACCGTTCTTGACCTGTGTGCAGCCCCTGGGGGAAAGACGCTAGCGTTGCTTCAAACTGGCTGTTGCCGTAAGTCAGAGGGCTGGTGTCTTGGGCAAGGAGAGCTCCCTACCTAACCCAGTCAGGTGCACACTGAATATGATGGGCTCTTTGGTTCCAAGGTCAGAGGAGGAATTGGGCTTGCTTGCTAAGCTCGTGTATTTTTTCTGTTTGTGAGTATTTTCTCAATTTTTTTGTCAGTTGGCGAAAAAAGATTGCTGAGCAGAGCAAGGTCTCTGAGGGCAGATTAAAGGAGGGCCTAATCAGTCTATCACATGACACTTTCACCCCTCTGCATCTGTTTTCTTTGTCTCTCACATTACGTTCCGTTTCACTAGTCTTCCAGCTAAAGCAGTAAGGTCTGGCTGCAGCGACCCTTTATAGCTTTATCTGTTAGTCTTCCCCAGGCTTTATGTGCTTCAGCCATCTTCTGCTACTCTCTGTTGCTGGAATTCGCCTCCCCTTTTGCTCATACTATGTTTTCTGTCTCTAATACCTCTACCCCATCCCAGCTAGCCAGTTTTTGGCTTTTAAGCCTCAGCTCAAGTGTGCCACCTCCTGGAAGTCTTCCCTCATAACTTCTGCTGGTCAAGTGGGAAGTGATGCCTATGTCTCCTATGCGCCCAATTATGGGCATCACCTAGCACATTATTTTAGCCTTGCATCAGAACTTTACTGAGTATACATCTCACTCTTCAAGATTATGAATTCCTTGGACAAGCCCAAGTCTTACTCATTTCAGTTAAGTAGCCCAGCCTGGGCCTTGTACACTGTAAGTGCTCACTTCAGCCATCCATTGGCTTATCTCCTGCCTTAAAATAGGTATTTTCTCCTTAAGGACCTGATAGATATCCACAAGGGGGCTGTGATTTTCACCTTGGAGCTCTTGGAGCTCACCAGGCTTCTCTTGCCATTTACCCTAGCCTTTTTGTTGGGCCTGGACCCTTCTTGCAAAGTTCTCGTCAGCCAACTTGCGGTTAGCTTCCAGCTTCATGGTAGGCCCCATGGGTGATTCTAGAGAGGTACCATATTTGATTTCAGCCTGGAAGTCCAGAGGGAGAGGAGAAAAGATGTTGATCTGGCTTAATGAGTCAGCCCAGCCTGTGTG